AAATCACTTTTGAGCGCGCGGGAACTCTACTATATATTTTTATGTTAACTACAATACCAAAGTATGCGTATATTATTAATTTTACCTACCTTCCTGCTACTTTTGTGCTAACTTGACCAAGCATTTGCTTCTTGCTGACTTTTTTATCAAAAAACTAGCACTTTCTACAAAAGAAACCCTGCACTTTCTCTACATTCAAACAAAAACTTATCTTACTTTTAGGGTCTAAAAGGTTACTGACATTCTATTCACGCATAATGGACCTATGGACACATGCGATATAGACCCTTCATGCACTCGTGCCGTTAAATACGAGTACCTATGTATATTGACAAAGTGTAAATGCAGAAATTTCTCAAATGAAATTCCATGCAATCGCTCTACAAGAAGCAGTTTTAGAATTAGAAATTGAAAAAATCCAATGTTAATTAAAAAAAAACACTTCCAAATAAGTTTCAGAACAGAGTAATACTTATGCCTGATGCACATACAATCAAAACTGAATTAGTAACGCAAGATTTTCAGGAAGGTATTTGGATGGAGCTCCAAAGTTACATTAATTTGCTATGTACTGTTTTGTCAAAAACATTGTTAGCGCGAAACTTCTAATTACCAAGTTTCGCAAATATTTCTCAATAAACTTAATCCAAGCTTGTTTAATAAGCAAACCAGCGAGCGGTTAACGCAATATGCAATTAGTGCATAATTCAGTTACATGCACCAAAGTTAAATGAACCGTTTTATTCCATTTAGGAAAATGTTCTCTTTTTCAACTTAAAATTTCCATTCTGCGGGTCGAAAAGGTTGCGAAATTCTAATTAAAAATGTAACGTTCACTTGAAAATATTTGAGAATGGTAAATTCGCAAGCCGTCAGCTTGTAAATTAAAGCCCATTAACTTAAAATTCTGAAAAGGAATACACTTGACGTTGACATGGAAATCTAAAGCATTCGACGTCGTCTCTAATTGCATACGGAATGGTAGTACATTTACTTAACACGATCAAACTCGATTATTGAGCTGACGTATGACAGGCAGTTGTTTGTGATGCAATTAACGTTTTACACTGTTTCAGTTTGTTACACCCTCACCATTTCAGTGTAAATTTTCATGCATTCAGATTCTGAAGTAGGTAACTGAAACGACAATGGTAGTGTTCCATATTAGTTGTTTTATTTGCTACAATGATATATGAAACTAACTGTAACCCACTTTTCAGGAAAGCCGCTGCCAAATGTGGCCTGGTACAGAAACGATATTTTGGTGAGCAACGTGAGCATGATTTTACCAGGCGGTGGGTCGACTCACGTACAAAGCGAGCTAAGGATTACGGGTCTTGGACGCCGGGATGTCCACTCAGAGCTTACGTGTCAAGCGTTCAATAATCCACGCACTCAACCTTTGGCGGCAACACTACATGTGGACATGAACTGTACGTAAACAACCCTTTATCATCTCACTTAATCTTAAATACCTTTCCATCAATCTTTCATGCCGTCCGTATCCCTATAAAGCTTTTCAGAGGGAATTAGAATTCACCACATCTTTTTTCGGTGATGAAAAGGATAAAGTACTTGGTATTCCGTACGGATACAGCTAATTAAATTTCATTAAGAAATCTCAGCTACTGTCAAATTTACACTTTCCCTCGCACTAAAATGAAATCTAAACAATGAAATGTAGGCAAACAAGGAAAATGCGTACCTGATTTGAATACTTAAACCTACCTCACCTAATGATGATACAAAACGACCGGCGACTTTTTTTGTTCCATATTCGTAGGTATCGTGTTACATTAAGTCTTTACCACAAAATGTTGTAGAAACTATCGTCGATATGAGGAAAGAGATTTACCCTCTTTTGTCTTATATTTGTGGAGAAAATTGATTTTCTAGATCTAAAGAGTAAGGGATGATGAAAATTATTTTCTAGACGACGGATGTTGTATTCTCGAGCCATCCATTTCATTCTTATTAACTTCCGTAAATTAACAAAAATGAAAAAGCTTTGACTGATCTGAGAATATTCTCGCACTATAGATAGGTAATCTATTAACCCATTTTCATATTTTTATACTAAAAAGTGTTTGTCCGTAAATATAGGGGTATGTTATTCGCGGAAGGTACGAGATTAAGGACATTGTCACCTTCATTGCAGAACTAACTGAACCATTTAGAGATGTTGCTTGAGTTTGAGTTTTATATAAATAGTAAATCTATTTGTTAAAACACAAAATTTCCGTTTATCCACAGCTACAGGGTGTCCCACACCGAATACCGAGTATCCAAATCTCGAAAAGGACACCTCTGAATGTTTTGAAAATTTGACAGTATGCTAAAAGAAATTCATCTAAGATATTTTTCAAGTTGGTGGCACTTTCGGTTATATGTACTGTAAGCTGATGCTTATTTTAAATTGGACATATCATTACATAAATGCTAAGTCAAAGACCATGTACATTTTTATGTCAAAAATGACGTTTGCAGCCAAATCATAATTGCCATTTTGCTTTCTGTATGAGATGTGTTATTATTTAATTGGGGCTTGTTCCGCTTTAGCTAACTCTATTGGTATTTTGATTATTGCGTACGAAATAAGAGGGTCACCTCAACATCTCTTTTACTTGGCGAGATACGAAACATTTATGACATTACGGTGTATCTTAAATAGCAATCAATTTCCCCAAATAGCAAAAGTACGTACACTGCAAATACATAGTACGTACAGCGCTAGATTTACGGATTTACATTTCACGTACACTTACGGTACATGTACGTACATTTCACGTACATGGTACGTTATTTTTTCACTGCTTTGTACAAGCTGGGTACGTACTTTGCCTGTTATAATATACTTACTTTTGCTCACGTACATAGTACGTACGGCAAAGTATATACCTAGCGCAAAAATAATGTCCCGTGTACGTAAAATGTACCGACCGTAAGTGTACGTGAAATGTACTCCCGAAAATCTAGCGATGTACGTACTATATATATTTGCAATGTGCGTACTTGTGTATAATTGTATAATTTTTACCGATGATATGCTATCGTAACGAGACGGTTTATGGCGATTATGAATTTCTCCATTACATTGTAAAATTAATAGTTTTCAAATTTTAAAGATTGCGGTGAAATGGTCACCGAACGCCACTGAACGCAATGAATCCCCAAAATTATGAATTTCAAAAATATCGCATCCATCAAATTCATAAATAAACGCCAAAATTAAACTTGTTTCCCCATTATTAAACTAACATGAGGGCGATTACATTTTTTATTTTTACAATTACATAGCCGACTGGACTACCGGTATCAAAATTAGCGTCAGATACAATTACGCTCTCTGTAAAAATAACCCCGGCCCCGTTTACTCTCAATTCTTCCTACCTATACAAAAAACACCTGCCCTAATAAAATTAATATCGTTATTCCTGACCACACTAGAAATACCATCTACACCGGCAGAACTGATAAACCACCCGCAACGCTTATCTCGCACGTGACATTCTTTGTCGAAAAACCACTCAATTCTGGTCCGATATCAACTTTTATCAACACCTGACCAGATGAAACTTCAGACTTCAGAATTTTCGATTAAATGTTCTCTTAGTTATCCGTTTTAAATTTATTTTACAAACTAAATACAACAAATAAAATTAAATGATTTAAACAATTATCGACTAAATGTACAATAAGAAAGTCACATTAAAATGATAAATCAACAAATTTTCCCAATTCTGTGTCCTTTTGAAATTAAAAAATTCCAATGTCTTATGAAATAGCTTGAATTATGTTAGGTACAGGATGTTCTGACTGCTAATTCCGATACTCAGACCGAAATTACGTTACACGTATTTTTACACTGCAAAGTGGTTCGCTCTCATCTTCAGCATTATTCAACCTAGAGATTTTACACAACACATTAATTACAAGTTCCATTCATAAACCTTAAAGAACTGATTCAATAACGGCTCGTATACTTGATGTATGTACTCACCTGTCATCCCTCTCCAAGCTAAAATTGTAGATCACTCTTTTAATTGGTGTATATTGGGAGCAGCACATTTCTAGGCACTGCTAAATTGTGCAGCTTATTAGTCTTTGAAAACAGAAGAGACGCAGGGAAAAGAAGTCTTAACCATTATTGATTATTTTTCTAAGAATCTGGAGGCTTGCTGTGAAGTAATATTACGTATACAAATAACGAACAAAACGAAATAGGAGATATGCATCCGGGACACTCAATCTTAAACTTAAAGAGAATGGCTAGATTAAGTAAGTTACCTAAGGGTTGTTCAGCAAAAGCTAAAGGGATTTAGTCGTAAAGCACTTACAAATTCTAAGTAACGAGAGAGAGAGAGAGAATAAAACGGGATTTGTAAATGTAAATCAATATTTAATGATAATTGCCATATAAGTCGTAAACTATAAATAACTATTATACTCGTAGTGCAAAAGTACAGTGAGAAATTACTTCAGTTACGATTTAAAAAGCAGTGCTAAATTATGAAAGTATAATATAAAGGATACACATATGTTTATACAGTGCGTAAATTTTAACTCTGAACATTACAAATCTCTTGTATGTAAAACTCAAATGTTCAATTCTAAATCATCAATCATTGTATAAAAATTAATTTTTTATTCAATGCATTAATTCACCTGACAGTTATAGCAACCTAGACCTTACACAGTTCGGGAAGATGCCCAAGTTTGGACAAAGTCTTCAATTATTCACCCGTGCAAAGGCCCTATATTATGTAGTCCTCCTGTCCTACCCACTTTTTGATTAAATTGGTAGAGCAAAATTTATTTAACAGCACTTTCATCGGGGAAACTGCGAAACGCATTGCTTTAATGCAAAGGAACTAAATGTTTTGCGTTTCCTGTCAAAGTCATTTTTTGATGAATGTGGTAAAGCAAAATCTACATTTCTTCAATAATTCTCTGCGGAAACTGCAATGTGCATTGACTTGGTGCACAATAACTAATTTAGGTACGACTGCTTGATAATGCGGTGATTATACAGTCGCAATTAGTGGCCATAATTTGCAATATTATGGCCTAGTCCATAATGATAAAGTAAAACGGCCGCCTGCCAATGTGACAGTCGTACTTAGGTGTCAATCCAAGGTAAATTATTTGTATTTGGGAAATACTTGACAAATGCTTGACATCTGTTGTCAATGATATATAGATTTTAACGTTTATTGAATTCCATGAAATTTTCATATATAATACCATAAGTAGTCGAAGTATTGTCGAATATTTTTGAGGTGCTGTCACGAATGCTATAGATCGTCTCATATAAAAAAGGAATCGGGAGAAAGTAGTGTAACCTCCCACTAAGTTTATTGTTCATCTCAATGTCGCTGTGCTTTGAATAAAGATAGGTATAAAACTGGTAATTATTCGGGCCGTTGGAACCACCCTCTAGAATCCCAATGAATGAGCGAAGTGTTTATAACCGCATAGATGTTTATAATTTGAATGGTCAACTCTGCCGTACAAAGTAACAACCAAGTAAGTCAAAATTGTCTAGTTTTGGGACCGCAATTTTTTATTAAATATTTCAGAGAAAATTGTTTAATTGTGATAGTTTTGGTTTTAGAATATTCATTTCTTGTATAGACATTTATATAAGCACAACTCATGTTTTACGGAAAGTACAAAAATGCTCGTTTTGAAAACTAAGTTAAAAAAATCCAATTGAAGTCTTACTTAAACGTCAAATTTCTGTAAAAAATTAAATTCTTACCAACAAAAAACCAACTATGTATTTATTTCAAGTACAAAAACAAGTACGTCGACAAGAACGTTTTTTAGAACTATTAATGCAAAAATAAACATAAAAAATAATATTCTTCTGTGTTACTTTAGGAACATTATGTTAGGTAACTGATCACTTTCCTAAACTAAACTCAAACCTAATCTACTACCACTTCTCCCACAAGTTCACCAAGATCTTCCGAGTCATGAGATACGGGAAGTTGGCGCCAAAACAATTGCTTTTTGGCCGGCATTGTACTGACCAACTCTTTAATTATTTTGTCTTTTTTTTCTGAATTGATTCCTCGGCACGCACTGGTTTGCTTCACTTCAGGTAATATATGTTTAAATTTAGGTTTTAAAAATTTAACTTCCTTAAAATTTAAGCCGTCTATTTCACTTTTGAAAAAGAGGGACCTGCTTCCTTTTCTAAATTGGCAAATTTTAACGTCATGAAGTAAAGGTATTGTGTTTGCTCCTTGTTTTCTGGGTTGACAACCATTTTCAAAACTCATAAAATCTTCTGCGTGCAGATCAATGATTTTATTATAACGGCAAGACTTTTTAATAAGATTAAGAAGATCTTCAAAATCTAACACTTCTTTGGCTTTATTCCACTGCTTACCAATGGCACCGTGAATTGCGTCTGCCTTCATAAATG